ATATGGGAGATCCCGGTCCTCCTCCCTCTTCCCTCCTCCTCGGCCTCCTCCCTCCTCCCTCTGGTTCCTCCCCGTATTCGCGGTGCCGCGTTGCGGAGGCCAGCTGGACGCCGCGAGGCCGAAGTGCGCTGTGCGAGCACGCAGTCGCCCCCTTCCCTCTTCCCTCCGCCTCGCCTCCTTCCGCCTCGGCCTCTTCCTCCCCTTCCTCGCTGCCTCCCGTTTTTCCGCGCATTTTCATTAATGGCCAAATTTCACCAGTGTGAGCGTCATTGGTCGCCGTGGTGTTGGCGAGGCGTTTTCGCCGAGTCTTGCGCGCTGGCCAGCTTTGAGGGCTCGCCCCTGCGCTCGCCAAAGGCACCTCTGTCAGCACCGTTGTGGCATTCGATTTTTGTTTGCTTCGGCTGCGCTCGTGCAGGCGGCAGTCGTTGTAGCTATGGGTGTGGCTTTGGGGTGGTTTTGACTCTGGCAGTCGTCAACTGTTCCGTGACTTGTCGCCCCTTCGGCTTCCATTTCAATCACTACATTTCGGGATGTACGTCTTTTTCGCGCACCTTGTCCTCGACAACGCGATGTCCAGATTTCTCTTTGGGTCTTGTGGCTCTGGTCGATCGTCACAGATCATCTTCGCTTCGGACTCGCTGATCCTGGTGAGCGTGTTTGTGTGCTCTCTGTTCCCCCCTTTTCCTTCTGCCTTCTCCTCCCCCTCTTTTTCCCTTTGCTTTTTCACATTAATCTCGCAACTTTTTCTTCTCGCAGGCCACGGTTCCTTGCCTATGGCAGGTTTTCCGACGATCGATTGTTTCATGCCGTTGTGCTAGTCACGCCGAGGTGAGGTTCAGTCGTCGCTCGCTTCTCCTCGTTCCATCTGGAAGAAAAAATACGGGAGATCCCGGGCCCAGGGCCCTGGGGGTGGGGCGGGCGCAGTGTGCAGCGCAGCGCCAGCCCTTACCCTTAACGGGCTGCCCCGACGGCAGCCCCTATTCATTACCAGCGTTTTGCCAATCTTGCAGACCGAGCCGAGTCCGACGACCTACATGATCTTATGATGTCGCAGATCTTCGGAACAGGATCTTCTGACGATGGGCCCATGACCGAGGCCCCGGACGTGCAGGATCTCGTCTGGCTCCAGCCGCCGCACGGCTGACTCCCCTGTGCGCCTCCCGAGCCGGATGTTGACTAGAGGTGCGCTGCGGCTATTTCCTCCCAGTGCGCTTCCTGGTGGTCGTCGCTGGCTTGCCCGCGTAACTGGTGGCGCGCCCGTGTCGCCCTTTGCGGCCTGCTGCTGTGGTTGGGAATTTTGGTGCCATCGTCTCTGGCTTCTCGGTCCACTCCTTCCTTGTCTTGCTCGTCTTCCCTTTCAAGTTCAGAGTGCGTGGTGGGCCTCGCCCTCCCAAGGGTTAGCCAGTAATCGTACTCGGGTTTCGGCCACGCTCCACCTCGCCCTCCCGCCCCAGAGCGTCCGGATCTTGGGTCGTAGCTCGGCTCTCGGGCGGCCGTTCGCTGCGACCCAGGCACCCCCAGTGCGCCCTCGACGAGGCGCAGCCGATGGAAGGCATCGCCGAGAACCGACGACAACGCCCGAGACCTCGAGCACCTCGATTCCGAGAACGGTCGCCCTTCCCTCGGGCCGTTCCGGCGGGGCCGACGCCCCCCCCCTCCCCTCCATGGGGGACGAGGCGGGCGCCTGCCGCCAGGCCAGAGGAGCCCCTCTCTCGGGCCGCGAGGGCGGGCTTCTCTGGCCGGCAGCGGGCGCCTCGGCCGCGCCTGAGCGCCGAGGGAGCCGTGTGGGTCCGAGGCCCCAGAATTCTTTCAGCGGTTCGAGGGGGGGCCCCAGGTCGCAGGCGATGTGATTTTTTCAAGTCGGGTGTTTTCCCTGTGTGGCGGCCTCCGGCATCTGTCATTGGGTCCAGGGCCATCAAAAACGAATCCAGGACGAAGGATTATCCCCAGAGAAGGGATCGGGACGTCTGGGGCCGCACATTGTCCGGTTTCCGACACTGGCCATCGCGGATCGATCTGCCTCGAGGATTGCCGCAGAAAGCTGGGGTTCGGGGTTATGGTCGTGATTTTTTTCGCGATGCTGCACTTTTTCCGCAACGGCGGATCTCAGAGCTCCTCGGGGCGCACCGTCGCCGGGTGCCCTCCTCGGCAGACAGGGCGTCCCACGCGGTGGCGTGCAACGGCCGAGCGCGCAGCGGAGCCGCCGGGTCGAGACCCCCAGGGTCCCCACATTTCGGGCGTCTGGGGAGATTTGCGTCCTCTCGCAGACCCGCCTGCCCTCGCAGACCCCGGTTTGTCTCCTGGTCCTGTCGTCCTCCCTCGATGAACCCAGTGGGGATGCGTGCCGATTTTAACGCTTCGTGCTTTGATATGCCCTGCGTCGCGTTGTTATCGATGGTTGGCCTTTCACCGCCGCCGTTGTGCATTGGGTGGGGTCAAGGAACGGTTCTCCTGGTCCTCCGAGATAGCACTGACGCAGCCGAGGACGCGCTGCCCGCGATCATCGAGCTCGTCTCCCAGGTCGAGGACCTCCCGTCGGCCGCCCCTTCCCCGCGCGGCCGAGAGGCCGAGCGCCGAGCTTTTTCGCCGTCGCCGTCGCCGTCTTCGCCGTCTCCGCCGTCGTCGTTGTAGCGCGCGAGCGAGGGAGAGAGAGAGAGAGAGAGAAGGACAGAGAGAGAGAGAGAGAGAGAAAGAGAGAGAGAGAGGGAGGGAGAGAGATAGAGAGAATATATAGAGAGAGAGAGAGAGAAACAGCAAAGGGAAAAGAGAGAGAGAGAGAGAGAGATACTCGGGCACCTGCACTTGGGGACGTGTACAGTGCTCCCGTGTCCTCGCGCTGGGCCCCAGTGCGGTGGCCCTCGCCCTGTCTCGCGCTTGCCTCCCACGCTGGGCTCCAGCGTCTCTTCGGCCGGTTGGCTGCTCCTGTCTTTCTTTTTCGTCGCCCTCGTCGTCGTCGTCGTCCACTTGTGTGAGAAGGCTGAGGAGTGGCAGCGAACTCCGTCGTGGCTCGGCGAGATGGAAGGGCGACGATGGAGCCCGATGTCATCAGCCACAGTGTTGGGGCCAGGGCTTGCAAGAAGGGCGCAGTGTGAGAAAGGCAAGGCCGCGCGGGCCAACGTCATCAGCTACAGGGCCGGGGCCAGTTCGGGCGTGTGAGACGTCAGAGCAGTGGCAACCAACTCTGTCGTTACTCAGCGATATGGAAGGCGAAGGTCGAACCCGATGCCATCAGCAACAGCGTTGGGATCAGGGCGCGGGAGAAGCAAGCAGCATTAGCCACAACGCTGCTGGGGTCAGTTCGTGCGAGAAGACAGGCAGTGGCAGCACTTGCTGGCAGTGCGAGAAGGCAGGCAGTGGCAGCAGGGGTTGGCAGCAGGCTCGGTCGCACGTCATCGGTACGAGGAAGATGAAGTTCGAGCCCAAGGTCAGCAGCTACACTGGGGAAGGCGACATGTCAGCTACAGCGCGGGAATCAGGACGTGCGAGAAGGGCGCAAGGCGAAGGTAGAACCGGATATCTCACAGCACAGTGCTGGGATCGGTGTGGGCGAGAAGGAGGAACAGTGGCAGCAGTCTCTATCGCTACTCAGCGAGATCGCGGAGGCAAAGCCGCAGCTACACGTCATCGCTACAGCGCTGGGAGGCCAGCAATCTCTGTATTGCTCAGCGAGATGCGGAATGCGCAGCCAGAGCCGGATATCAGCTACAGCGCTGAAATCAGGGAGTGGGAGCTGAGCGGGGAGTAGTCCTCAGCTGCTGGGCATGGGTCAGCTGTTCAGCTCGAGCAGGCTGGGGCGACGCATCTTCATCTACAATGCTACGGTGCGCTCATGCGAGATATGTGGGGGAGATAACTGGAGCCAAATGTTCTCAGCTACGGTTCCGGTAAGCCTTTCGAGGCTTCGGAGGCAGCCCTCCGTCTTGGCGTGCAGATCGCGGTTGTTTGCACGGCTGGCTTGTGGCTGCGCCGTGTTTTGTAGGGGGCGGCGACCTCGACGTGCGCACTGTTGCTGTCGGGCTATGAGGATGTGTACGCGAATACTTCTGTGTGGCACAGCGACCTCTTGATCAAGCGAGTCTTTCTGCCCAACCCCATACCCAGGGGCAGCGTCAGGGGGGATAGGCTCAGCGGGGGGATGCATCGTCCCCCGATCTCCGATTGATCGCCGACAGGGGTCCGATAGCCCACCCCGGCCCGGAACCTGCAGATTTGCAATCGGGGGCGTGTCGCCGATCAATCGGCGATGTATCGCCGATTCTGCGTCAATGTGCCCCCCCCGAGCTGGTCCCCCCCCCAACGTTGCATCTCACATGCTCCCTTCCCATCCCCCATCCCCGTCAGCGGGGAGCGTTCGATAAGCGGGGAGTGGAGGATATGGGTTGGATTTGCTCCTTCTCTAGCCTCGGCGCTTCGGGGCGACGCGTCCCGTCGGCTTCGTCGCTGAGGTTCCTTTGTGCTGCTCTTAGAGCTTTGTCTTGGCGTCTGTGACAGATGTCCGCACCACTGCTGTTCTCCTCAGTCAACGTGGGTGCACTGTTTGGGGTCCAGCTCCGGTTTCATTTGGCGATTTGAGTGTTTTTTTATAATTCAATCCTTCATACCCCCTTTGTCCCTCCGGCGCTTTGAGCCCTTCGTTCAGAATGGCGCTCTCGCCCCAGAGCGAGCCACTTTTCTGGATCCGAGTGTCCTTCTGCTAATCCGCCACCTTCTCCTCCTATGTACGCAGCTCCCCGTTCCCGATTGCGCATAGCACGATGCAATCTTGCTTGGAGTTCCAGGTCCGCTACAATACGTGTCCGCGGATAGAAACAAGTCAGCGCAATGGGAAGGGGTGGGTTGTAGGGGTCTGATGTCAGATACGGCGCGACCGCACCTAGCTTGTCCCTTCACCCTCCCCCTCCTCCGTCACTGTCCGTAGCCATTTTGGCTCAATCCGCTTCGACTCAACGAGCGCTTGGTTGGTACTCCCCGATCTGGCACGCGGCCGGCGCCCGCCCCGAATGCCGACGCACACGGAGCCCGTTGCCGCAGGGGCCAAGGGCCGCAGCCGTTCGCCGCGGAGGGCGGCCGTGGCGGAGCCCGAGATGATGGATGGTCACAGCGGCAAGGAGATATTCGAAGACAGGAGCTGCAAGACGGGCTTCACTTACGACGACCTCATCTGCCTGCCCGGGCAGATCAGCTTCGGCGTTCATGAAGTTGTTTTGGAATCTAGCTTCACGAAGATGATCAAGCTGAAGACTCCGATTGTCTCCAGCCCGATGGACACCGTCACCGAGCACAAGATGGCGATCGGCATGGCACTGGAAGGGGGCATCGGCGTCATCCACAACAACTTGACGATCCAGGAGCAGGCGAGCGAGGTAAGCATGGTAAAGAAATACAAGAGCGGATTCATTACGGACCCTGTCTGCATTCAGCCCACGATGTTGCTGTCGGATATCGACAAGCTGGCGGCGTCTTGCGGCTTCACAGGCTTCCCCGTGACGGACGACGGAAAGATGAACTCGCGGCTGTTGGGCCTTGTCACTCGCAGGGACACGGACTTCGTCAAGAACAGGGCTAGCATAACAGCGAGCCAAATCATGACGGACTTCAAGGATCTGGTGACTGCTCGGGAGGGCGTTGGGTCGCAGGCCGCGAACGAGATTATCCACAAGACCAAGAAGGGTAAGCTGCCCATCGTGAGCGAGGACGGTCGTCTCGTCGCCCTCATTGCCCGCACGGACCTGAAGAAGAGCGCGGAGTTCCCCCTCGCCACCAAGGACGCCAAGGGCCAGCTCCGCGTAGCTGCGAGCATCGGCACCCGCCCCTGCGACCGCGACCGGGCCAGGGCCTTGGTGGATGCGGGCGTGGACGCTATCGTCGTCGACAGCAGCCAGGGCGACAGCCATTTTCAGCACGACATCATCAGGTGGATGAAGCAGGAGTTTCCTGACCTCCAGGTGGTCGGTGGCAACGTGGTCACGAAGAGGCAGGCCAAGCACCTCATCGACTGCGGCGTTGACGGCCTCCGCGTCGGCATGGGCATCGGCTCCATCTGCACCACGCAGGAGGTCTGCGCGTGCGGCCGGGCGCAGGCCTCTGCGGTGTACAACGTTGCGAAGATCGCGAAGCAGCACGGGGTGCCCATCATCGCGGACGGCGGCATCGGCAGCCCCGGCCACATCGTGAAGGCCTTCTGCTTGGGCGCCAGCGCCGTCATGTGTGGTAGCCTCCTGGCCGGCACCGAGGAATCCCCCGGCGAGTACTTCTTCGCGGAGGGTGGCCAGCGCTTGAAGAGGTACCGCGGAATGGGCTCCCTGGAGGCTATGAAGAAGGGCTCCGACGACCGCTACTTTGGCAGCTCGAGCGTCGTCAAGGTCGCTCAGGGCGTCTCGGGTAGCGTGCAGGACAAAGGCTCGCTGCGCAGGTATGTGCCCTACTTGGTTCAAGGCCTACAGCATGGCCTACAGGACATCGGCTCCAAGAGCGTCGAAGATCTCCGCGAGCAGCTCTACAGCGGCCGCCTGCGCTTTGAGCTCCGCAGTGCGGCCGCACAGCGCGAAGGCGGCGTCCATGGCTTACACAGCTTTGAGCGGAAGCTCTTCGGCTGAGCTGGGCTCGAGCGCGCTTCTGCACATGCCGCCACGTCGGCGTGGACAGGGCCCGCCAGGGGGGGTGGAGCTTGGTGATCGGGCGGCGTATCGAGGTTGCACGGCGAGTTATTGGGCAGATTGTTTCAGTTTCTAAGTCTCTTGAGCGCTGGTTTCGGCGGCTGGCAGACAGCTGCCGACGTTGGCTCCCTTCAGTGGGGGGCCTGGCCACCGCAGTAGTCCTCTTGCACGCGCAGCTTGCCGAGAAAGCAATCAGCATCTGTGCCGCGCGCCCGTAACCTAGGGCCGCTGTAGACCAGAGCCAACAATGCATGGCTCACTCTGTGAAAAAACCCTTCTCCGTCGCTGTTTTGTGCGGAGCGCTGGCGAGTGCGGCGACATGTTGCCCTGTGCCGTCGCCTCCCCCCGATTCCACTGGCAGAGATGCCCGAGCTCCGGCAGGATGCCGTCGACGCGGCGGCCATCATGGCGGCGCCCTTCAACGATGACGACCAGCACTGGGACCAGCCGCGGCCTTCATGCGCTTCGCTGTGCGCACGCCTGTCCAGCAGCCGCCTCCACCTGACCTCCCGTGCCCTTCCCGGATTTCGCTTGCTCGCTCGCTCTCTCCCCATCTCAGCATCGCGCCGCTGCCGTCCCGTTCTTCTGCTTTGCAGCCGCGTCCCCGCGTTGTCGCTTTGGCTCTCGCGTGATATCCTTCTCCTCACGTGGATCCCTGTCGCCCTCCCCCCCTCACTCCTTTCCTCGTCTGCGGCTGTGCCCCCCCCTCGCAGTCACACCGATCAGGGCGAGCAGGAAGGGGGGAATCAGTGGGATGAGGATGGTGGAAGGGCGGGAGGAGGGCGGGCAGGAGGAGGATGAGGAGGAGGAAGAAGAGGAGTAGGAGGAGGAGGATGCGAAGAAAAAGAAGGAGGAGGAGCAGCAACAGCAGCAGCAGGAGCAGTAGGAGGAGGGCAGAGGGTGAGGAGCTGGAGCAGGAACAGGAGCAGGAGGAAGATGTTAACCAGCGTGGGCCCCAAACATTAGGTTCTTGCAGTCTGTGCGGTGCAGTATATGTGGTGCGATGCAACATATGTAATGCAGTCTGTGCGGTGCAGTCTATGCGGTGCAATGTGTGCGATGCAAGCTACGCGGTGCAACCTATGCAATGCAATATATGCGGTGCAATCGATGTGGTGCAATTTCGCGCGGCAACCTATGTAATGTAATTTATGCGGTGCAATTTATGTGGTGTAATCTATGTGGTGCAATCTATGCGGTGCATTTTACGCGCGGCAACCAATGTAATGCACTCTGTGCGGTACAATCTATGTGGTGCAATCTATGTGGTGCAATCTATCCGACGGCGACGGCGGCGAAAGGCGGCACCGCCCGCAAAAGCCGCCACTCGCCCCGAGCGGCGGCGACGGCGACGGCGACGGCCGCGACAGGCGGCAGCGCAAGCAAAAGCCGCCACTCGCCCCGAGCGGCGGCGACGGCGACGGCGACGGCGGCGACTGGCGGCACCGCCCGCGAAAGCCGCCATTCATCCCGAGATGGTTAAGCCAAGTAAGAACGCCTGAGTGCAAGCCCTGTTTGGGGAACTAGAGAAAAACCCAGGACGCATCAGCGATGCTGCATTACACCCCCTGGTTCAGAGTCCCCTTCGCAAGCTCCACTGTGGTAGGCGCCTCTCTGACAGACCGGCGCCCCGATGGCTTGCCATTCGAGTTCCCCGTTTTGAAGAGGATCCGCACCCCACCATCTTAGCGATAAGAGGTGAGCAAATGTATATAAAATGAAAGCACATGGGAGTGTCCAAGGACAGCCCCCATTACAAAAAATAACCGCTCTCCATCCGTTCATCGGTTAAGCAAGCTTGAGCTTATAACTACGATATCGGAGGTCGTCCAAAACGATAAACCCATTGTGGAAAGTAACCTCCTTCCATCCGCAGCTGTTTGACCCTTGTATGCTATTGGCCCCCAGAACAGAAGAAATTCCAACCGCCCTTCATCATTCTAATTGATGGAATTTCTTACGACGAGTGTGCGTGGCGCTGACGCGAGAGCTCAAGTTTGAAAGTATCCAGCTGCCTAACGGAATTGCATTCCGCCCTTCTCGGACGAGAAGCTTGTGCACGTACTCAAACACCTCAAAACGGGGAAAGGTCCGGACACTACAGGTATTGTGGCGGAAATGTTGAAATACGGCGGTGATCATGTGCAACGTGTTGTTCTAGACCTGTACAATCAGATCATCAAGCCGAATGCCGCGACCCTCGCTCAATGGGGAAACACAGTCATGACTGTGTTTCCCCATTGAGCACGCGGATGGAACCCTGGCCGGGTTTTATCAAGAGAGCGACACACATAGCTGAAAACCAGTTGCAAGCATCCAGTGTGGAATCTCGGGTGCACCAACAGAGACGGCGCAAGTGGAAGTGAGCATACAGAGTTGCCAACATGGGTGAACATCGATGGGCCTCAAGAGTAATGGAATGGGAGCCGACGCGAACCAGTCAGACTGCCTGTCACTCGGCTGGCAAACCGGAAAAAAGGTGGGACGACGACATTTGCGAGTACTTGCCTGCACATGACATTCGAATTTCGTGGCGTGAGTGTGCGGCGCAAGAGACTTTGTGGAACTCGCTCGAAGGAGGGCATGTAAAATGGTGGGCTCAGCTGAGCCGTGTGAGCCTGCCCAGCACGCGCCATCTCTCGGTTCCCTCCTCTTCCTTCTCTTTAACATATTTGTCACGCCCGTTCGAACGTAGCTCTCTCTGTGATATTCTCTACACTGGCGCTTACCCTCTGAGATTACGTGCCCCATGCGCTTACCCTCTGAGAGGACCGCCCCATCGGGGCTGGAATGCGGATCGCATCGCGTCGCATCCAGCTGCCTACGGCAAATCCCGCCACCGTGCCTGGAGTGTGGGTAATTAGCCTGGTGGATGTTCGTTGGGATCTCGTGGGGGGCCTCTCGGGGGCCTCTTGGAGGCAGTTTTGAGGCCTCTTGGGTGCCGTTTTGGGGCCTCTTGGGGGCTTCTTTGGGGTCTCTTGGTGCCTCTTGGGGGCCTCTTGGTGGCCTCTTGGGGCCTCTTGGGCGCCTTTTGGGGCCTCCTGGGGGCCCCTTGGGGCGGAAGGCTTGGATCTTCGGTTCGTGTTCCCTCTCTGGGGCCGCTCTTGGGGCCGTCTTGGGGCCCTCTTGGGCCGTCTTGGGCGTCTCTTCGGTCATCTTGGGGCGCTCTGAGGCCATCTTGGGTACCTCTTGGGCCGTTTTGGGGTGATCTTGGGGGTCTCTGGGGCCGTCTTGGAGCGTCGGAAAGCGGTAAAGGCGAGAACGCCCAAATGCTTCAAAATCGCAAGCACCATGACAGATTTTTGAATTCGGGGGCCCTGTTGGGAGACCCCTTGGAGGCCTCTTGGGGGGCCGTGGAAGCTTTTTGCGCCATCTTGAGGCCATCTTGAGCGTCTTCGAGCGATCGTTCGGCGACTCGGGGCCCTCTTGGACCGTCTTGGGAGCCCCCCGGCCCGTCATGGACGCCTTGGAAAATGCAAGGGAGGCACCATGGCCGCCCAGGGACCCCCCGGGAGTATGGCCGGTGCGCGCAAGGAGGTGCGGCCCGGAGATGGGGGGGCCGTAGAAGAGTACAAAAGCCCTACCAGACAACACTTTGCATTCTACCACGCCTTAACGTTCCAGGGGGCACGGTGGTTGATTGTTCTCCATCCTGGTACCTGTGGGACGCATGAAAGACGAATCTTCGCGGCGATTTGTCGAGGGCTTCATCTTGAAAACCAACCTCCCTCTACTCGTGTGTTTCTTGCAAAGTTTAAGGCGAGTGTGAAGGCGTTGAGACGAAAACCAGATTGTGACACGCAGTTGACCTCAGTCAGTGAGACATGGGCGTTTATATAGCGTCATAATTGTCGAGGCAGTCTCGAACGAAACGCGAAGACTGTCCTGCTGACATGTCTGACGGCGCGGCGAGGATGTGTTACTCATGAGGACGAAGGATGGGGAAGGATATCGAGGAGGAGGTAGAGGAGGAGGGGGGCGAGGAGGAACAAGAGGAGGAGGAAGAGGAGAGGGAACTGAAGACGGAGGAGAAGGAGGAGTAGGAGAAGGAGGAGCGGGCGAAGAACGATGAGGAAAGGGATGACAATGATGATGGCGATGACCACATCATTATGTTGTTGTTGGTCGTGGTGGTGAGAAAGAGGAGGAGGAGGAAGAGGAGGAAGAAGAGGAGGAGGAGGAAGAGGAGGAGGAGGAACAGGAGGAGGAGAAGAAGGTTGATGATGAGGAGGAACAGTAGCAGGAAGAGGAGGAAGCTGAGGAGGAGGTGGAGGAGGAGGAGGAGGAATTGGAGGAGAAAACGGAACATGAGGGATAAGGAGGAGCATGAGAAGGGGTTATTGGAAAGGGAGGATAATGAGTGGAGGAAGGGAAGGAGAATGAGGAGGGGAAATGTGCGGTGAGGAGATGGACGGGGAGGATGAGGAGGAGGAGGTGGAGGAGGAGGAGGAGGAGGAGGAGGACGAGGAGGACGAGGAGGAGGATGAGGAGGAGGAGGAGGCGGAGGAGGAGGAGGCGGCGGAGGAGGAGGAGGAGGACCACTGCAAACCCAAGAGTCATCAATGATGTTGGAGTAAACCCTCCCTCCAAGCTCCTTCTTCATGGGCCTCTACAACGGTTCACTTCCATTGATGGAACTGCCTCGTTGGAGGACACTCGTGTGAAGATCCGGAGGCATGCCAAAACATTGTTCTCGGGATTCCAACGCCACGCATCAACCTGAGTGTTGCGTCTTGACGATCCTGAATCTTGCCAGAACGCCATTCCTAGGACTTCAACACAGAGAATCAACGTAACTGGTGCACCCGCATAATCCTGAATCCGTCCAAAGCACCATTTCTGGTACGTTGACGATGGGAATCCGGGAAACTCTTGCAAATGTTTAGCGCGAATGTGCGCGGCGTTGATGCGAGAACCGCATTTTGAAAAGGAACCGCCCT